TAAAAAATACGTATTTTTATGTCCAATGAACAATTAAACCGCAGTAAGTGACTTTAATAGCTACAAAAATAAAGTTGGGTAAATATGTATAGCATGTGTGTAGTAGTTTAGTAGTTTAGCGTTTGATTAGTAGTCCGTTAAGCTAGCAATATTTTGTTGCAATAAAAAGATGTGTGGCAATTAACTAAAAAATCCAAACTTTGTTCACATTCTGCAAACTCAAAATAAATTTGATAGCTTTGATATTACCCACTAATTCCAATAAATAGCATTAATTAAAATTCGTATGACAATAAATGCTATGTAATAATTGCTTATTAATATATAGAGTTTTATTTAAATTTTGTAAGAATTAAATACTGAATTTACTTAATGAAAGTATTAAACAGAGTTTAAGGCTTGTCTTATACAAACAGCCATACGATACGTGATCATAGCATTTTTTTTTTATTTTTGGTCATGACCTAAGGGCTAGTTTAATAAAAAGTTATATCACAATAGTCAATTTCCTGCTTTTACTAAAATTTGAGTACGTTTTTTTTTCGTACATATAATATAAAAAATGTTTATTATTGTATAAGCATGCCTACATATGCCCATATGCCTAAAAACCAAAATAATTTTAAATTTGACGTGAATCTCTTTGATTGTTTGTTTCTGAATAAATGTTTAAATAATGTTATTTAAATGATTAAATTATTATTTAAAGACAAATATATAAATTTATATGTGTATATAATTTTATTAAGAAGTCTGCAGTATTCATAAAGTATGTTCACTGATTTCCATTATGTATGACATTTTTTCTCAACTTTAGTTGTCAGTACTGTTTGTGATGTTGGAGTGAAATCTCTCCACTTCCGTTTCATTCTTTTTGGTGTAGAAAATAAATCTGACAAGATGGGTCGTATGCACGCTCCTGGGTAAAATTAAATAATTTATAGTTGAAAGTGTAGATTGAACATAATTAATGCACCACAACATGGGCAGACCGATATAGTATTTAATTTCAATGAAAAGTGTTTAGTTACAACTAAATTGTTGTCAAAAATGAACCGGAAATTTTGTGCGTACTCCCATGTGGTGTTGCTTTAATTTAAGTACAATATTTGACATTTAAGTGTTAATGTATATCTTTGTTTCTATTACATGTATTTCTGCTGCTGCATTATAGTAAGGGTATATCCCAATCAGCTCTACCTTATAGAAGAACCGTGCCATCTTGGTTGAAACTTAACGCCGAAGATGTTAAGGAACAAATTAAGAAATTGGGCAAGAAAGGCTTGACACCATCCAAAATTGGTATGTAATTAATCATATTAAAAATCATACATATTAATTCTAGATGATTATACATTTCAATTTTTAATATACTTTGTTTTTGTGACTGCAGGTATAATTTTGCGTGATTCTCACGGTGTTGCTCAGGTGCGTTTTGTGAATGGCAATAAAATATTGCGTATCATGAAGTCTGTTGGTTTAAAACCTGACATCCCAGAGGATTTATACCACATGATCAAGAAGGCTGTTGCTATCCGTAAGCATTTAGAACGTAACCGTAAGGATAAGGATGGTAAATTCCGTCTTATCTTAGTTGAATCCAGAATTCACCGTTTGGCCCGCTACTACAAAACAAAGAGTGTTTTGCCACCAAACTGGAAATACGAATCAAGCACAGCATCTGCTTTGGTAGCCTAAGTTGTAGCTTTTCCAGTTAAAATGATAAATAGATTTTTATATTTTAAAAATATAAAGTGAAATAAAAGAAATGTTTAATATAAAAAGCTAACTAAAAATGTTTGTATTTATATACGACACAGTTGCGTTAGCTATTAATACGGGTACAGATTAAAATTAATAATTTAACTCTGGTACAAAACTTGTAACGAAAGATCTTTGGACATCAACTTGAACGAAGAATTTATATTAATAATGGAAATGTGGTGCACTTCAATGTGTATATGTTTGGAATCCAAATTAAGAAATTAGTTCTTGTATTGTTAAGAAAAAAAAGTCATTAAGTAGTTATTATGTCGCTACAACTACTATGCGTAAGAGGTACAGTGTATAATTTGCAGAAACACCGGTTCACATAGGCCCCAAAGAATTTGACCCATTGTTATTCTATTATGTCTACCACTAATAATAGATTTTCAATATAACTCAACAACGTTGGTAATTTTTGCTTGTAATGTAACAAGCACCGAATCATAACACGATACATAAAAGCCCAAAGATTGAGTTGGTATGGAATTTTCGAGACAAAGCCAGAGGGGAGTAGAAAAAGAGGACGACCGCCGCGAAGATGGTTACAAGATATAGAAGACGACATACGAACGATGTGAATAACACAACATAGAAAGAAAGCGAAATGCAGAGAAGAATGGAGGCGTATTGTAGAGGAGGCAATGGTCATGGCCATCCTGGACTGTGATGCCAAAATGATGATGAATGTAACATACTTCAACTTTTGTATAATTCTGGCAATTATACAAAAATAAATGTAATAGGGAGAAATCAAAGTTTACTACTCTTTGAGAGACTTAAAAATGTCGATTATTACAATTCTTAGTTTTTATAGATCTCGCCGCAAGTTTTAGTGTATTTGCGAAAAGAATTCATTAAATTTCATACTTCCGAATGGATTTCGTTTGTATCATCTTTATTGTAACTATAAAAAATAATTAATGGATTAATAGATAATAACCGTAATCTTTAGTCTCAGCAAGCGTTTTGCTTATTCATCCATGTATGTAGTATATATTAAGACTGACTTGTTTACAGAAAGAGGTTTAAGATACCAGTTAATTAAATTTGTTTGGTTCTATCTTCTTAAATATAATTTCATAAATCTACTTCAAAGACCTCAATGCGCCTTTAAGATTATCGATTTATATTTGGATAATTTGTGCATGATTCGTTATAAGTTTATATATAATTTATAGATCTCTGCATTAAATAAAGTTAAATTCTAATGTATTATTAAGGATCTCTTAGTTAAAAATAGAAAGTTTCAAGTCAAAGGTTCATTCTGTGCAAAAAACTTCAGAGTAACACATAATGCCGTCTTAATACAAAATTTCTTCGGTAAGAGATTAATTTAGTATTTTATTTATTTAATTGTAAATGCTATTTATTGTTAAATATATACAATATAACTAGATTATAATAAATTTAAAAAAAATTATTTTTATAATAATTTAAAATTCATGGCACGTATAAAACAAAATATATATTAAAAACGTATATTATGTATATGAATTTAATATAGATTAATATTTATCATTCAGTTACAATTTCTATTTTATTTAGCAATAATATAATAAGTATTGAAAATATATCAAATAAGTGGTGTTATTAGTTTATCCCTGATGATAAGAATATAGCTTTCGATATTCTTTGGCATCTATTATCAATTACTTTCTATAAGTTTGAAGTTTTGTGTTGTGGCTTTTGAAAAATTTATGAAGGTTTAAAATTATTCGACATAATAAGATGTTATTTCTGTGAATATAGATTGGTTATATAGTTAATTAATATAATAAAAGAAAAGGGGATGCTACATAATTCTATTTAAGTTTTTTATTGGGCTCTTGTTAAAACTCCAATCATTTAGAGAAAAATTATTTTTTGGACTATTTTAGATTTTCGATTCATTGTGAGTGACAATAAAAAATGTTCAGAATATATGCATTAGATGGGTCAACTATCCTTTAGGATCAATAATCGAATATCGTTTAGAATCGTTTCTGTTTCATGTATTAGTAGTTTTTAATATCGGTAATTACAGATCTACTTGGTATTGAATTATGTAGCCCAAGCTTATCGAATTAAGTGCACCTCTCACTCTCAACAAAACTATTAGACAGTGCATTTTATTAAATCTTAACCATTTTGCAGCTGTAATAGTAAAAATAAATGTCATTATACACTTCAGTCGTAATACATGTCCTTTAATCTTACTCATATTCATACACATATACTGTTGCTTGTCAATGCCAAGTTTATACGAGGACTCGATTTATTTTGTTAGGAATCATTATTTTAGTTCTTTATTAGTCATTTTGAAGTAAGTTTATAGCTGCTAGAATTTATATTGTTTTGGTAAAATTTTAAGATATATATACAGCATGAAACATTTAATTTATTGAAACTATTAATCCTATTGATACATGTGTTACAATGTGATTGGCTGAAGATAGGGTGAGAAGAAGAATGAATGTTTGGTATGGGCGCGTGGACGGATCTTAATTGTAATTACTCTAGGTCGAGGTCAAGGAAAGAGAGGAAGGAATAAATATACAAGGTAAAAAGTCTGATTACATTTAAGTAATGGAAAGGAATCTGACACTTCAATTGTTCGAAGTCCTAGATTAATTGGGCTTAAATAAGATTGTGCATCAGGCCAAGAGAACCAATGGCGTCACGGGAAGTAGAGCTACAGTTTTAGCTACACATTGTGAACTAACGTCGCTTGAACTCATTTCTCTTTTTGGCTCACTGATATTTTCTTCTGAATACTTAAAAGACCGTGTTTGCAATGATTATTTTGTCATATATTATTCCCATTCGATTTGCGTTCCATGGCGTTATCATAAGCTTTCGTAGGATTGTTCAGTTCATTTAAAACTGTTTAGTATGGTTGGTTGCAGTGGCAGACCATTAGCCAACTTCCATGTACCCCAATTAGCGATTTTTCGCCGTTTTGCTACCACATTGCTCGTAAAAACCATAGTATAGAAGAGTAGAGACTAAATTCATCCCGTCAAATTCAGATAATTTAATAGGTCTCTCGTCTTCACAGATGAACAGTCAAAGAAGTATTTTCCTAAAAAACTATTTCTTCTGGATGTCAGGTCCGGGCATTGTTCACACGGTGTCTTTTGATGAGTTCCAAGAATCTAATTTTATTATAGGTGGGCCATGTTAACCTGGAAGTTCCACATGTTCAGTATAGTATATACCATAGTACAATATCGAAACTTTGATTTTATATATCTATATTATGTGAATTCTAATTTTAATAGTTTTATGTTTATTTTATTAATCTTATGGTGAATATTAAAAAATTATTTTGGTTATTAATATTATTGTATTAAAATTTTTAGATACAACAAGAAAAAGTTACTTCCTTTATATTTTAAAGAAATTTCGTTATAATCTTGAATTTTTTTTTTATTTTATTTATGTGTAGTGTTATTTAAAAAATTTTTTTGATTTTAAACATTTTCTCTTTTATCTTTATTTTATATATTTTGTAGTAAATTTTAAAAACAAGCTTTCTATTATAAACATTTTTTTTATTCTTATTTTATATATGTTTTAGTGAATATTAAAAAAAATTTCAATTATAAACATAATTATATTAAAGTTTTTATATATAAGAAAAAATAATCGATTTTATATTTATAATATTGTTACGTAATCGCCTGCGTGATTATTCGAAACTCAGGATTTTGTAAAAAAATGAAACGAATTATTAGGATTGAAGAAACTATACTTATATATTTTGTGTATTACAAAGAACTAGTATTAATTAGGAGTCAATTTAACTTCACTCAAAACAAATTTCCAAACTAACTTTTTATAAAAATATCAATTGACGTAATGTTTAAATATTATTTAAACATTTCATTGCTACTCTGATGAAATTCGTAACAATATGTTTTTATAATATTCTTAAATTTTTTCTATTTGTTAAAATAGTAGTTCAAGAAATTATATTAAGTTTTAATTTCGAAGTTGTATTATAAACTTTCCTTAAGCTATGGTATGGAATTAATAAATATTTAAATATGGGAATTTTTTTCTTGAACAATTTAGTCTTTAAAAAAGTGTTTTATTTAACAATTGATCAATAAGCGCGTTTCAAAAACAAATTTATTTATAAATAGTTTGGTCATTAAAACAAAAAAATAATAAACAACTTGGTTTATTTACACTTTAATTGAAATATCGTAAGTTTTTGTTTTGATACAAAGCGCAATTCGTTAACATTTAAAAAGATATATTATAAATATAAATATTTTAAATAAATTTAAATTGGGATTTCAAATCTGCTACTATTTTATTTGCTACTATTTTGTATGATATGTGTTCTGTTGCTATTGCTGCTATCAAACCACGAAATCAAACTCGCTATAACACATCAGACTGTTTGTTGCAAAAGCAGCCGCAGTCAATGCTCCGTTGCTCGTTTGAAGTGAAATTTGCAACACTCGTTCAGTACTTTTGTTCGTTGCGAGCGAAACGGTTGTGTTTTGATGTGATTAATGTGATAGCGAATAAGGAAATAAAAGAATGATGTCCTTTGTATGTTTTAAATTTTTTATATATTTTTAATAATTTTACCGAAAGGATTTATGTGTAATACAACCATTTAATTGCAAAGGCACAAATGTTCTCTTTATAATATACAATTAAAAATTGAGTGCCATAATTTTATTGTGTTTTTACAAAAAGAAAAGAATTAGCTACCGTGCCACAAAAGTATCGGAAATGATGACGAAATTAGTTTTTTGTTTGTTTTTGGTAAGGTGAAGTGCGAAGTGCGCGGAACTTGTGTGCTATTCCATTGAGCAAAATTACTATTTGAAATTCGGCCAAAATTAGAAAGAAAAGGTATATAAATAATAAAATTACATTAAAACAATTTATTCGCAAAAATTTTGTCAAAATTTGATTAGGTAATGCACAAATTTTATTTACTTATAGATGTTTGTATGTCAGATAAGCGCATAATTTAAGGAAGACCCA